GACCAATTCTGGTTGGCTTTTGGGCCCATCGCACTAGAGCTTCAGGATCCCAAGAGAAAGCGCGACAAGGCTTTGGACCAGAAGGAGCCGCCACGTTCTGGCGGAGCAGAAGCCAAGGCCTGACCATCCAGGTCCACCTCTCTTGCTACAATCAGTGCTCACAAAATCCCACCGAAAAGAAAACAAGGGGGCCATTGATCGATTTAGCATGTTTTCCCAGGCCCTCTTTCAATTTGGCATGTGGTGTGGAGTGCGAGTGGAGTGCGTCCAAGAATTGGAGACCCCTTTTGGACTCTGTTCAAAGGAAAATGCGCAAGGACATCTAGCAGGGAATTAGACTGATGCCTCGCTGAGTCCAACAAGTCACCTGTGGGAAGGTGCCAGGAAGATCGACTTCCTCTTAAAAGGGGCCCCTGTCAGGCGCTACGTTAGCGGAAAGGTTATTCTATATTTTTTGGTAGGTGGTGTGAACCGAAAGTCACTGGGTTTTGGGCGCTGGCAAGGCGCCCGGGCGATCCACAAGGGCCCGGACCGGCAGAGCGGGAGTAGAAGTTGCGCGAGAGCTCAAGTTGGAGGGCGACGCTCTGGAGGATATGGCGGAAATTCGAGCCCTTTCACTGGTCCGGAAATCTGGGTCCAAAGGGAGTCCATTGGCGACTCATAAGCTCAAACTTAGAGAGTGCAGCTGTCTGTGAGTGGGGGTAAGGGAGCCCAACTGTGACAAAGCTTGGGGATGTGGCCAAGGCGACGCATTCCCGAAGCCAAGTGGCATGTGGTCATGCAAGAATCAATCGCAAAAATGGCACTAAATACCAAACCTCATCACAGAAAGGGTTTTAGTTTACCACTTCGGTGAAACCCTTAGCCCTTTCAAACCGACAAAGTAGTCATGGTTGCGGATGGGAATCAACCCCAAGCGGTATCACAGAAAGAGTGAAAGAAATGCCTGCTTGGGTCTCGAAAGGAGCTCAAAAGGAAGCTTTGGCCGTGTTTGGAGGCCGACACGTCCTAAGTGTTCGACAACGGATCCACTTACCGCTATAGCAGGCAGCCAGTTCTTCCCTGAAACAGTTTGGAGGAAGCCTCCTTTTCCCAGACGCCCGGTGGTGCACTTTTTACTTTTGTTGGAAGGGGTGTTCCTGTTGAAAATCAGCTCCCCCAAACGCGTGTCCGCTTTTTCCCCATTGCCACTCGGGGTCAGGAGGCGGACTTCTGGGATGCGGTCGGCACAGTAGTGGAGGAGGCGCAGGAGGAGCTGGACGTGAACGTGGCCGCAGGGTCGGAGGTGGGAGGGGTGTTTATGGCCGACCTGAATGGGTTCTATCATGTGGGCGCTGCACGCGTTGTCCTTTTGTGCAAGCTGGAGCCCCTTTAGTAAAACCCGTAAGGTTTGGGTCGTTCGGTTCATTCATGGACACTTTTTGTTTTCGTTCGCCACCTTGCGGGTGCCATGCTGGGGGAAGTGTAAGTGAGCATCCCTGCTAAGGCGACCTACCACGAAGTCGCAACATGTCTCAACACATCGCAACTCACAGATGACGCTAGCTGCCGCTTCTACGTGTCAGGCATGGGACGCTGTGGAAGATGACCATGACATCATCCAGGCTTCGCAACGTGAAAGGGCGGAGCCCTGGTGCCAGAAATTGGGATGTATGCCCCGGAAAGGCCCTTTTTTGCTCAGCTGTTTTCCCAAGGCGTTACCACCACTCCAGTTTCTTTTTGGCTTCAGGGGCCGTTTTGAGGGCGAGGCTTCTCTGGATGCAATATGATGCTTACAAGAGGTAGTGTTGGGGCGATGCATCCATGTCACAGCATCACGACCCCGATACATGCCCATATAGAAAGATGAAGTGCGTGCAACGTGTCTAGGGCCCTTCAAGAGTAGAGACGCCCCAGAAGGTCACTGGTTGCAGCCTCACATGTCAACAGTTTGGTTCGAACCTTCCCAAGGCCTGAGAAATACTCTTCTATGCTGACTCGTCGGTTGCATGCCGTCATGGCGTCCGCTTCCAATTGCTGGAGGGCGGGGGTAGCCCTAGGATTCAACGCAGTCGACCCCTTTTGCCCGCACATACAGGCACATGCTGCTGCTAATTCGTCGTATTTACTACAGGCTGCCATCACCTACCCTACACCATGCATGGGGTTCATGGGTGCAGTTCGCACATTTTGGGAAGCGGCAGGGGGTTCTACTCCCAAAGATTTCATGGCGAGCTAATCTGTGGGTAAACTGAGCTCACCGTGTTTAGGTATGGCGGCTATTTTAGTCATCGGTGACTGGGTTTGAAGGGAGAAGGAAAATCGGTCGCCGGCAGGTGCCTGCGGCCTCGGCGGGCGAGGTGGCCGAAAAGCTACCGCTGGTGGCCTCCATTGTGCCTGGGTGCAGGCGGGGGGGGGGGGTGAACCGGGCCAGCCCGTATCATGAACCAACCTAAATCAGTGAAACGTGCAATTTTGCCTTCAAGTTTTGGTGAACTGTCAACACGGACAAACTGGGTCAGCAACCAAAACTGCGGAAAACTGGGTCAGTTTCCGCTTAATTTCCGCCGATGAAGTCATTGGAATGAGAATCAATTAGTTCCCCTTCAACCAAGCCCGGCAGGAACCACAATGGGTAAACCAACCAGTACCTTATGACTGCTCTTTTTTTACCATTTCAAAAGCCTCAAGTGGGCTTGGAGGGTGCGTTGAGTGCCCCGGCCAAAAAATACCCAAACAGACAGGGTTCTCGTTTTTCATAGCGGCAGTCACCGGTTGCTGGGGAAATAGCTTTTCTTGAAAGCCTCTAGCTTGTTCTCGGAAGCGAACCCCCCCCCAATGGGTTTCTTTTCCCTTGAAGCCTCCCCCCCCCCAAAAAAAAACAACAACACACCATTGGCAGGCTGGCGCTGCAGCAGGGCACGCTGTGGGTCTCCGGCACCTGGGCTTGGGCAACCAGAAGGAAAGATTGCGCAGAGGGTATGGCTGGAGTATTGTCTATCGGTTTGCTTTTGTCTTTTCATGTTTTTTTTCCTCCTGGGGGGGCGGGAACAGGGATGAGTTGGTTTGTTCCATATCGGCTTTGCGTGGTGTTGTCGGGCAAGGATACCAATAGAGCACTCTAGTCAAACAGATAAAACACGCTGGTACTGGGCAACGAGGAGCGCGCCATAATCTAACCAATGTTCCCTGTGTTTCCAACCCTCCCAAAGGAAACCAAAGGTGGATGTTGGACCCACCCTGTATTTTGGCCACTTGCTCTGAGGAGATCCTTTGCTGGCTAAGCATCGGGGTCGTCAGGTGGGTCCGAATTTCTGGTTCCACGTCAGCTTTTTGACTTGGGCTGTGGTCCCTTTCATTCCTGGAACTTGTATGCTTCAATGACCCTTGGGTCAATCCATGCGCGCCACGCGCCCCCCCACCCCCCCCCAGGTCGCTGATAACATAGAAGCCAGGTCCCTTAGAGTGAGCATGTTGGGGAGCTCTCAAACCTGCTTTTGCGAATTGTTTTCCCCATGTTCCTATTTTAGGCCTGCTCGGGCATTTTTGAGGATGTCACTCAAATGGACCCCCGGGGTTCCCAGAGGTATCTTTTTGCCCCGAGGCCCTGCGAGCTGTCGGCTTCATGCCAGCGACTGCATCCGGGCCATCCTAGAGAAGCGTTTGGTGACGGAAGGCGCGCCCTGGTCAGGCGGCAGGTCCTTAGAGCCCCACGAACTGAAGGCTTCCACGTGAAGGTGTGCCAGGGGAGGAGGTCCTTACTTCGAGAGAGGGAGAGGCGAAAAAGGAAAAGAAAGACAAGGGGACGAAGGAAAGAAGGAGAGAGAGGGAGAGAGAGCAGATTTGGGTAAAGGGCTGCGAAACAAGAAAGCGATGGTATCTCCTCTACGTGCAATATGTTGTGCACCCATGGTCAAAAGCACTTAGGGGCAGTCCGACTTGGATGCTGTTTCCGAGCCATAACCGTTGCAGCTGAACAATGGCTATACAGGGCATTTACGAGCCATAGACCATCAAGGGGCTATGACCATTTCGTAGATCCTCAAGCTGGCGGGTAAATTGAAACGAGCTCAACTGGGTGTAAAACACGCTCACTCATCAAGGTCCTTTTCTGCGGGCTTTCCTTACTCGTTTGGAGGCCGGGGCAACGTCACCACCGTGAGCGTGTTGGCGGACTGGGCGAAGGAGTGGAAGGGTCAGGTGGAGATGGAGAAAGAGCCACTTGCTCGGAAAGCGCGATCTGAGCTGCACCCAGTTGTGTGTGTGTGTGTGTGTGTTTGTGGTTTGGGTGAGCTTCCCCCCCTCTTGTTTTGAAGGGAAGCCAGACGCGATCCATTTGTTTAGTGGCACCCTTTTTGCTGCTTTTCCACTACAGGTCAACCCAAAAAGATTCCATTTTCTACCAAGGTCACTGCACATACGGTTACCGAAACGAGGTACTCAAGGACGCCGTGTGTTGTGCTTTTGAAGCTTGATGGGGGGACACTGAAATCAAACCTGGCGTTGCTGCTTGCTTTCGGCCCTGGCCAGCCGGCAAGGATGTTTCGTTCCCCTTTAGCTCGACGCTCACCAAAAGACACTCAGTTGGCTCGGTGCTTCTGCTATGCCAAGAAGAGCCGAGTTTCCATAGAGTTGACATCTGCAAGCGTGTGGAATGGGGGCTGCGGTTTTGGCTGTTTGCCATTGCGCAACGCCTCTGATTTGCAGATGCCAAGTATTTGTTGCATGCTCACTTGCAGGTTGCATGTCATCATCATCTTCGAGCAGCTGGAAGGACCAATGCAGTGATTGAACAAACACAGACTTATTTGCCTCTAGTTCGGGGCTTGTCAGCACAAGGTTGATTGCTCAGAAGGTCCCATGGGCACAGATGCAGGCTGTGCGTCCTGTTTGCGTCACGGCCTGCAGGGCGTGCTGCTTACATGCGCGGGCAGCTGGCTGGACTTCCTAGCTGGCACAAGACATGGCAAGGCTTGCCGGGCAAGCGAACGGGGTGCGAGTGGTCCGTTTGGGCGTCTCTTGTTGGTGGCTTGGTGAATTAGATGAGTTTCCTCCTTGCATTGAGTGGGGCGATGGCCAGCCTGCTATGCCTTTGCCCTCAACCCCTATGGGAGTTTAGGCGGTCAAGTGTTGCTAGCAAGGATGCCATGACGACCCACATGAGGAGGTCTGACCATGGCTATGATGGCTTTGAGAAAGGCCGCAAAGCAGCCAGGCAAATGGATTCAGACCTATCAGCCAGTCATCGCAACTTTGCTGCAGACAGCTCGTACCAGTTTGAGAGGGAAATGCTCACGGCTTGGACTTCACGTATTCAAGGGAAATCTACCAATTTGTCTACTTGTCCAGAATCGGGAACCCCTTCGAATGGTTGATTTCGGGTTGGCATTCAAATTGAACCAAGCCGCTTTTGTTTTGGGTCTTGGGCATTCTTTCGCTTGCGCGCTGCCAGAACCACATAGTTTCAGCATGTTCCCCAATGCAACCAATTTACTACACAGTGACACAGTGCCATTTCCATTGATTGCTCAGGTATGACTTGGAGGTATGGATGGGCATAAGACTGCCTTGCACACTTTTTTTGGTGGTCTCATATACTCCATCATCTATGAATTTGTCTTGTGGAAACTTCCGTTGCTTGAGACAACATGGTATGTTGAGTTGGGAACACGGGCTTCGGGAATGTAAGAGCCATCCCTTGCACTCGAATTTGCTAGCGTATTAGGTAAAGAACATCTCACCGGGCGGCGGCAAAGCGCGGGTCACCTGGTGCTGGGCCACTTGGAAGCAGTTATCCAAGGGGGCCCTTCACTCTAAATGAACACTCCAACAGTGAAGGATCCTCTTTAACATGGGAGCCCCCTGTTGCTGAAGCGGGGGTTTGTCAATCCCGGGTTGACACTACATGGCCATGGTTTCCTTGTTGAAAGGGATGGATGCGCCTCCCATAAAGGGACTCTTTCCCATACAAGTGCCTTTTTGTGTCTAAGAGAGGTACATTGCCTTGGGAAAAGGGGGGGGCGCTGCCTCACGTTTTCCCAGTTGGGGGCGGGGGGGTGGGTGTTGGTTTCCTTTAGGATGCCATCATCAAACAAGCTTGCATTCCAAAGTGCAACGCCCGCGCACAGTTTGTGGCAGTTCAGTGGTTTGGCAGCTGTTGTGATGCACAACTACCGGAAGGGCCAAGGAGGAATGCAGCCAAAGAAACACATCGTGGTGTACCCAATCTCAGGTTGGCCCAAAGGGAAACAGAAGGAAAACCGTGGTGTAAGGGGTGGGTGACCCGACATTGCGTGGGCTACCCGGGCAAGGGATCGCAGGACGGAAAGCCTGCAGACACTGACACCTCCCAGTTGCAAGCCGCAGTGCGGGTCCGCATATTTGGCAGGCCGGGCGCGTGGGTTGGTTTGTCGGTCGGTCGGTCAGTCGGTCGGTCGGTCGGTCGGGTGGGTGGGTGGGTGGGTGTGTAAGTCGGTGGGTAAGTGGGTGGTACAGGTGGACAAGAACATAGAGGGGACATTCCATTGCACGCATTGCATGGCACTCCATATTTTGCTCAGAAATTGCAAAGGGTAGAAATAAGCCTGGCAAACCGCCTTGTTGGATACAAAGCTATTGCTTTGCGCTTGCTGGCAAGCGCAAAGATGAGGGCACCAGCATGGTGAGTTGCAGACGAATGCCAGCATTCTCCCTTGTGGCATGTGGCATGGAAGCCCGTGTCTCAATGATGTGGGTTTCTGTCAAATTGCAGGGACCCCATTTTCCCATACTGTTGCATCTACACTGTCTATTTGCAAACACACACACACAGGCGTGTGCAGGTTTGTACTTAACATGGAGCCGTTAGGAGTAATGACGCAGGCCCTATGATCGAGCCGTCGCAGTGGCCCGGCTGCTCGCCGAAGCTGACCAGGAGGCACGCCGATGTCCATGTCTGCTGGTTTCCGCTGTCCCCCGACCACTAGCCCAAAGGAGCACAAGGCTATACAACTGCTACGTTTGTTTAAGGATTAAGGGGTGATTTGGAGGCAGCTGAGCCATCTTGGAACGTGATATATGGGGCCTTAGAGAGAGACAACATCGGGCTCCGCTATTCCGCAGAAAGGTTCCCAGAACCGGTTGGAACCCCTAAGAAGCTCCCTTCCAAACCTTTGCACCTTTGCTGGGGGGATCTTCAGGGCGAGATATTTGTAGGCATGACTCTTAAGGAAAGGTAAAGGCGGGGGTCCCCTTAAAGCCGTTGATGCAAGCCAGAATGGAGCCCAATTTCGAAGAAAGACTCCAATGTACCATTCGAAGGGATTTTGTCTCAAACTGAGAGCAGTCCCAAATGGCAGGTTTCGTTTTTGGCTTTCCTTTCGAAACAATTGGAAATGGGGTGGCGGCGGTCCAACATTTTGGAACATACCCAGTCCGAACCTATGAGAAGCCACATGCACAGGCTTGCATTCAGGGGCCCAGAGCAGAGGCTAGCAAATGGTTCCAGCTTGCAGCACGAGCACGCGTCCCACATGTGCCATCTAACAAAGAGAGCATCCGCTCGCCTAAGACACAATGGGTTCTTAAAGGGGACATGTGTACGTTCGTATGCTTGGTGAGCGGGGTTCTTCGTATCATTTTGCAACCACCTTCATCTTGCGTCGCATGACCGTGTTCTGGCGGGTTGCCGGAAGATCAAGGTAAGAAACACCACAAAAACTCAAAAGCACCCACTCCACTACACGCAGCTTGACTCCCCACGAGGCTTTTGTTGAGTTTCAGGCCACGGGCCTCATGGCCTCGCAGATCGCTGCCTTCCGCCACGACAAGGGCGAGACCTTGGACGGTGGCCCAGGCGCGGAGTCCGCGCTGGGGCGAGAAAGCTACCCCTTCGGCAACGCGCTAGAGGAAGCCAAGGTTTTTATAGCAACAGATGACCGTAGGGTGTGATTCAATTGTTGCATGATGGTGTTGGTTGGTCGTTGCCTCTTGGAGCTTGGGCAAACGCGTTGAAGAGTGCAAACCAGTAACGCCGCAAGTCCGAACAAATATATACACAGACATTTATATACATACCACAAATCAGAAGGCAGCATCTTCAAGGTTTTTGAGGTTAGTCATATTTGCCAGAGGATCCCGAGCAAACAAAGCTAGGTTGCTCGATTTTGTTGAGGTGCCGCAATGGCAACCTTCTCCGCAACATACGGAAACATGGCGCACAACACACCCTGCATCCACAAAAACAAGGCACATTCTTGGTGGGTGGTCTCCATTTCTGGGTCGCCTGGTGGATTCTTTTGTGGCTTGAGGAAAGGGTCTCCAAGACTTCAACCTGGGCTGCAACGAGCGGGAGATGATCCGCTTCTACCAGAGCCGTGGCTTGAGATCGTGGTGGGCAAATGGGTTTGGCAAATGGGTTTGCATTTTGTGTTTGGCATTTTTGTTTGACCGTTTTTCTGTAGGATTTTGTTTCCTGGGTTTTACCGTATCTAGCTTCTTAGATCTTAGCTTCTTGGTTTTTTGGCCTTTCGCTTCTTGGAGTCTGGGCCGTTTTGGCTTTTGCTTTTGGTTGGTTTCGGGTGGGTTTGGGGTTGGTCTGGGGGAGGTTTAGAGTTGGTTTGGGGATAGTCTATTGCTGGTTTAGAGTGCTTCTTTGCGGTTGGCGGTTTGGTTTCAAGGTTGGTTCTAGTTTTAGTGGCTGTTTAGGGTGGGTTTAGTGGTGGTTTAGGGCTAGTTTAGGGTGGTTTTGGGGCCAAAACGTGGGTTTAAGGTGGGCGTTGGATTCATTGGGTACGTTCAGGGTGTTAGGCCTGCCTTTTGAAAAAAGCATGAGGTCATCACAAAGCCGAACAACAGCCCTCAAAAGCTGATGCTGGGGTGATACTGGTGATGCTGAGGATGCGGAAAAGCCGAAGCCACAAATGCTTAAGTCCGCACTCAACAAGCCGTAAACCACCTCCCCTAAGCAAACCCTGTACCAACCTATTTCTTTTGGAGCCGGGCCCTCGACAGAGTTCGCATCCTGCAGGGGGAGATCCTGGATCTGAGGGATCGGGATCATTGGCTGGCAAGCCAAGCCCCCCCTGCAGGTCCTCCTCGGGTGGGAGGAGAGGGAGGTGCTCCTGCGGCGGGAGCATCTCCGGTGCCCGTGAGGGAGGTACGGGGGATTTGGCAGTCCCCTCGTCCTCCGAGAAGAAGGAAAAAAGCGCAGAGGCGGGTGAGAGCAAGGAGGTTGTTGAGGAGAGAGTGAAAGAGAAGAAGAAAAGGAAAAAGGAGGAGAAGAAAGAGAAGGATAAGAAAAGGAAGAGGTCTAGGTCATCGAGAAGGGGTCGTGAGGAGAGCATTGAGGCTACCAAGAGTCCCAGAGGTAAGGAGTTGAAAAGGGGGAAAGAGGAGTTTCCGTGGCACCAGACAGGAGGTTCAGTTGGTGTCAAAGAGGAACGCCTGAGAGTGAGGAAGAGGTTGAGCATCCAAAGGGGGGGCAGGCACAGGACCCCTACGTCTCCGGTGTCATCGCACAAGGAGGAAAGAAGCAGGAGAGAGAGGAGCACATCGAGCGAGGGGCGCATCAAGAGGTTGATTGCGAAGAGCAAGGAGGCCACTGAGCAGCGGACTGCAGGTGAGGTGAGAGAAGAGGAGCCTTCCGGAAGTGGAGAAAAGGAAGATATCAGGAGGGACAACAGCAGATCGAAACACCCCGGTGGGTATATTGAGGATTTGCTGATCCGGCCCAGGAGGATTACAGAGGAGAGGATTGGAGAGGAAAGAACAAAGGCAGGAAGAAGAGGGAGCAGCAGAGGAGGTTTAAAGAGCGATTTGGTGGTGGTCGAGGAAAAGGAGGAGGTAAGTACTGGGGAGGCGGAGGGTATTAATGCCTCCGAAAGTGGGTGAAAGAAGAGCCGCAGCAAAGGCTCGAGTGGCGGCAAAGGGCAGAGCGAAAGCCCTTGCCAGGTTGCTTGTGGCGAAGCAGGAAGGAGGGGAGGATTCTCCTGTGGTGAGGAGACCGGCTGGAAAGACCTACTGGGAGGCCCCAGTGACGCTATGTGGAATAGTCGACAGGATGGAAGAGGACGGAGCAGGCATCCTCTCGGAAGTCCGCCTCACCGGCACGGAGAACGAGGATCTCTTGAGGTGGTCCACGGAAAATCCTGGCTGCAGGTGCAAGCTGCACCTTTGCAGAGAAGGGTGCGTGGCAGGAGCATGCGAAGACGGATTGGTGCATGTGAAGAAGCTCAAACTTCGCCTCCCAGGAGCAGGGGAGACATGGCTGGACAACCTCGTGGGCCACGTACCCGTTCAGATGGACGAGATGGCGGCCTTGAGAGACAGGGCCAACGAGCTGGACAAGGAGGACGCGAGAGAAAGAGGAAAGGACAAGAAGGTGAAGGAGAAATCAAAGGAGGGCAGGGAGAAGAAGCGGTCGAGGGGCGTGTCCAGTTCATCAACCAGTTCATCCAGCCGGAGGAGGAAGAAGAAGAAGAAAAAGAAGAAGGCGAGGAAAGGTGTAAAAGTAGAAGCAGTAAAGGAGCTGAGTGCAGTGTTTGGGAGAACAGGGATGGACCCCGACGTCAAGGTCAGAAGACAGGTTGTGAGAAAGGTGAAGAAAGGTGAGGGTATAGTTTCAAAAGAAGGGAGAAGGGTGACTCCCATTGAGGAAGATGAGGGGCAGTTCCATGGAAAAAGTAAAGGCCGCGAAATGTGCAGAGAAGGGTGCTTGAAGACAGAGGAGGAGACTTTGGATGAAGACATGCCCCGGAAGATGACAGACCGCAATGCAGGAGAGAAGAAACATAATAAGACATACCTTTGGGGAGGGAGCAGTGCTTTTGGGAGCGTCGCTGTATCAACATTTGGTTGCAAGCTACATGACCAAGTGCATTGGCAATAGCTTTCCATTGCCTTCAGCTTTCGGCTCCCTAGAAGGACTGTTCCCTAGTGCCCGTGATGAAGAACTGAGGATTTTGCAAAACATCATCTGGTCATTGAATCACCTTAATGGCTCCCCGGTGTCGATGGGTGGATTTGGGGCTCCCTGCCAACAGCGGCTTTTGGGGGGTCTCATGGAGCAAGCGCGTTCAGCTGGTGAGTGGACGGAAAAAGCAGAGGTTCTGGACTGGGATGAACTTTTCAGAGTCAAGGGGGTTGATTACCAAGGGGAGGAAGTCAAGGGAGATGTTAGCCCCTGCGTTGCCTTCAGAAGTTGGGACGGTCGCCCTTTCAGACGTGTGCGATGCAGGGTGCAAACATTATGTTGAGAACTTCGAGAGCTATCTTCTCTCGGTTGAGGACCAGGTGTTCACTAAGGGACCAAAAGTCATGGTTCCTCCCGGTGATTGGGAGGAGCTCGCATCAAACCTTGTTCATCAACTTGGCATCTGCAAAGTTGTTAAGGAGTCCGAGGTTTACCACGTTCAGGACAAGCCCCTGTTGAATGGTCTCTTCGGGGTTTCAAAAGGCGACTGGTACGGCGAGATTGAGGTTCACAGACTCATTCTGAATTTGATACCCTTGAATCGTATTTGCCGGGGCATTGAGGGCGATATTGCTACACTCCCTTCGTGGAGTTCCATGGGACCACTGTCGCTGGATATCGAGGAAGATCTTCTCGTATCAAGTGAAGACGTGAGATGCTTTTGCTATATTTCTAAAATGCCCTTTTCATGGCATAGATTCATGGCCTTTAACCGCCCTTTGCCTAGGTCCCTCTGTGAGGTGAAATCAGGAACATGTTACTTGGCAGCGACCGTTCTTCCGATGGGATTCAAGAATTCTGTGAGCATTGCCCAGCATGTACATCGGTATGTTTTGCGGCAGGCTTTGATGAACTCAGGTTTCCTAGGTGGAGGGGATCAGGAATTGAGACGACACAGACCATTTCCTACTTCCAGTAGTATGTTCCGTATTTATTTGGACAATTTTGACGAGCTCACGAAGGTCAACAAGGGCCTAGCAGCCACCTTGAAGGGAGAACTGACTCCCACTGTGCTTGCCCTTCAAGAAGAATCTGTGAGGTGGAATATCCCAAGGCACCCCAAAAAAGCTGTGGCCCTGCAAACACTGGCTGAAGTACAGGGAGCAGTAGTCGACGGGGAACGAGGAGTTGCCTATCCAAAGGTGGACAAGATCCTGAAGTACGTGGTGTTGGGTCTGAAACTTGCCAGTTCCACCTTTAGCACACAACGGCAAGCCCAGATTGTGGGAGGGGGTTTCGTGTATATGACTATGTTCCGTAGGCCCCTCCTCTCGGCGTTGAACCACATTTGGACGTTTATTAAAACCTTTGAAGGTCTGAGATCAGGTTCTGCCCTACGCACACCAGAGCTGGTCAAGATGGAGATCCTAAGATTTGTGGGTCTGATTCCCCTTGCTCACTTTGATTTCAGCACGGAGGTTCAGGGGATGGTTACCGCAAGCGATGCTTCTTGTACGGGGGAGGCGTAACCCGAAGCAAGGGCTTGAGCCCGTGGGGACCATCCAGAACCATTTGATGTTTGCGGGGTGGTGACAATTGGACTCTTTGATGGCATTGGTGCACTTCGAGTGGCTGCGGAGGCATCCCAGCTGCCGTTGCTGATGTCACCACCGTGGATGCAGAAGTGGTCAAGGGTTGGGCCACCCATTTTTCACAAGCAAGTTTGATCGTCGTTGGAGCTGGACCCGGTGTCAGCGGACTCAACGCGGATCGCAAAGGCGCCCTTAAAGATGAAAGATCATGCTTGTTCGCCCATGTTCCCAGGATTTTGGAACTGGTTAAACAGGCTTTTCCCTGGTGTCAAGTCCGGCTGCTCATGGAATCCGTAGCTTCGATGGACGATACAGATCGCCTTCTTATGTCAGCTTCGGTGGATCTAGAACCTGTTCGAATTGATGCTGCAGGAGTGTCGGTTGCGCATCGCCCTCGCCTTTACTGGTACATAAATGGCGTCTACAAGAAGTGTAATGAAGTTTTTGAGATCGAGCTTTCCGCCTCTTTCGGCCCCAGTATTTACATGGAGCCAGGATGGTCAATGAGGGAGGCAGGGAAACTTCCTACGTTTACAACGTCCCATCCTCGCAGGTTCCCTGGGCACAGGCCGGCGGGTCTAGAGCTCCCTTGAGGAACGTCAGAGATGGAAAAACGACTCGTACCGGTTCCCCCCGTATCAGTACAGGAACTGTTACTGTTTGTTTAACAAGGATGGTGAAGTTCGCCCGCCGAATGTGAGAGAACGGGAAGCTATGATGGGATTTCCGATCAACTACACTGAGAATTGCCTCCCGAAAAGTGCTTCTACTGCGGAACAGAAGAATGACACGCGGCTCACGCTTATTGGCAACTCTTGGAACGTCACGGTCATCACGTTTCTACTGAGCTGCTTGGGATCTATTTTGGGTCTGTGTCCGCAATTGACACCTTCAGAGGCAGTTGAGGCTACCAAGCCTGGAGCAGGGATGAATTTCATGAACTTTTTGCAGCGACCCCCATTGTCCTTTTCCCGGAAAAGAGGGTCAGATAAGGAGGAGCTCACGTTGGCCAAGAAGTTCATGAACCATGTGAGTTTGAAGGGTGAGGATATTTTGGTTCACTTGTCCGCGGAGGAACAACTCAAGTTTCACAGATTGCGAGCTAGTATCCCTTCGCAATGTTGGAGATGGCTGACAGTAGCCGGTTGGGGTTGGAAAGGTGATCCCGAACATATCAAGTGCCTGGAACTTCGGGCCATTTTAACTAGTGTCCGGTGGTGGATTGAGAAACGCAAGGTGAATAGAGCCAAGTTCATTCACTTGATTGATAATTTAGTGTGCATGCATTCCCTTGCCAGAGGGCGTACCAGCAGTCGCAAACTCCGCAGAACTTTGACCCGTATTAACTGTCTTCTTTTGGCCTCCCGTTGTTTTCCGGTGTGGGCGTATGTCCACACGTCCCAGAACCCGGCCGACCGAGCGAGTCGGCGTAGTGTCCGGAAAAAATGGGTAAAGTAAGCCTTAAATGCGTCGAGGGGAGAACCAAAGAAGACAGGGTCAGAATTCGCAAGCGACTGGGGAGTTTGAAGCAGATTGCAGTTCAACCAGCTACTCGAGCCAGGTATGACCGAGCTTTGAAAGGATTCTTTTCGTTCCTCAAGTTTAATGGTCAAGTCTTGCCCACTGAGCAGTCCTTGTTGGATGAGCTTGTGGGGGAGTATTTGGAGCATTTGTGGGCAAATGGTGAAGGGAGACCCCTAGGGTCAGATACCCTAGCAGACCCCTAGGGTCAGATACCCTAGCGGCCATCCAGGATGCGCAACCCCAGGTGCGAGGAAAGCCCCAGCAAAGCTGGAGGCTTATGAAAACTTGGGTTTCAAACGAATTGCCCAATCGTGCGCCGCCACTTTCTGAAGACATTCTTCACGCGATAGTTTGTTTAGCGCTCTTTCGGAAAGATCCGCTTTTTGCCCTTTCGCTCCTTCTGGGCTTTTTATTCCATGTTGCGCACTGGAGAAATTTTGGGTGTGATAAAATCCCATGTATCTCCGGGAGGCCGTCATTTCGCTCGGTCTTACCAAAGCCGGCAAGAGGCAAGGTGCTGCCGAAAGTGTCACCGTGTCTGTCGCAGATGTGGTTCGTCGACTGTCACAATGGAAGGAATCCACAGTGACTTCCGTTAAGTTGTGCCCCCCGCCCCACACATGGCGTAAGAAGTTCGCGCAGTATCTTAAAGATCTGCATCTGGACGCCTTTGAATTTCGTCCATATAGTTTGAGAAGGGGCGGGGCGACTTTTTGGTTTCGTAAACATGGATCTTTGGATAAGATTCTTGTTCAGGGAAGATGGCAGGCACAGAAGACTGCCCGCATCTACCTCAATGAAGGTTTAGCCGTTCAGGCTGAGATGCAGACGCCTCGCCACCCGGATGTGGCGGTGTTCAGGGCGCAGTATTTGAAGGCGGTCAAAGCACCACTTCCGAAATTTGAGCATGCCCAAGGCAGGACTGGGGGACGTGGAAAGAAAGTCAAAAGAGAGGTCGAGGGGTAATCCGACCCTTTTTCAAAAACCGCCTGTGGGAAGACGGCGGCTTGATTTTTAAGGAGTCGAGGGGAAATCCGACTCGAAAGACTTAACCCCCTTTTAGTTTCTGGGCTTGGCCAGACAAAGCGGGGTGGTCTTTAATCAAGACTGGGGCTGGGGCTTACCTGGGCTTGGCCAGGAAGACCCGGGGTCTTGAAAACCCACTGGGAAGAGGGTTTTGGTTGTTTCATATAAGTTTTAGGTTTCAATTTTTCAGACAAATCTGGTCTTGCAGCGCGGAAAAAGGCAAGCCAGAATGAATCTTTATATGTATACATATACATACATATGTGTACGATAGATATGTTAGACAAGATGAGGTATAAACGACAGGTCAGGTACATGAAACAGGAAATACAAATAAGATAGATCGAAGAGATAGACACGTAGGTCATATAGGCTAGATATGACAGTTAGGCCAGATGAAATAGGATAGATAGATAGGGATGTGTGTAGGTAGATGGATCGATAGATCAACAGATCGATAGATCGATAGATGGATAGATAGCTAGATGGCTGGATAGATAGATATATAGATAAGATAGATAAATAAGATAGGTTACGATTGGATAAGATAGGAGAAGCTAGGATATGATAGGAGAAGGCAGAATAAGGCAGGATATGATATGATAGAATAGGAAAATGGGATAAGATAGATATAGATTAAGATAAATCGATTGATATCTATATGAGTGATAGATAGATAGATAGATAGATAGATATCCATAGGATGAGGTAGGTTACGTTAGGATATGATCGGATAAGATATTTTAAGATAAGCTAACATGGAGTAAGGTACTGGTAGGATAAGATAGGGTAAACCAGGATAAGATAGCATGATATAGGATACGATGGGCTAGACAAGGTAGATAAGGTAGATCGGACCAGTTTGGATCGGCATGATAGATAAGCTATACATGGTGAGGTAGATAGGAAAGATTGGAAATATAGGATAGGTAGATGGGAGGAGATAGGATAAGATTGGAATAGATAGGTTGGATACAGAAAGATGGACGAATAACATAAATTAGACACATATCGTTTCCGGCCGCCAGTCAGCCAGTGGCTGCTCGTGGCTGGCCAGTCAGCCAGCCTCGGTTTTCGCGGCTGTCGCTGTTTGTTTTTTCGCGGTTGTCGCGCTTGCGCGGCTTTCGCCGTTTTCGCGCTTCCGGATGCAAATTCCGCTTAGCGCAAAGAAAAAGAATCGTGCAGCAACCTTGGACCCATCCTAAGCCACGCCCAACAAAGCCAACTCGTGATGCTGAGGATGTTCAAAAGGATGCTGCCGAGTTAAAGCAATGCCGGGGATGTTGACAGCGCTGGTGCAAAGCGAGTCAAACCACAAGAGAACCAAAGGAGATCGCACCACCCAGGAAACAATCCCAAAACAAAACGGGAGAATCCCAAACCAAATCCAGACCCAATGGGTCTGCATTTTGTTTGAGGCTAATTTTTTGTCAGGCAACGCTCAGTTGGTGGTTTGGATTGGTGGTTTGGATTGGTGGCTGGATCTGAACCTCTGGTTCTTTGTTGAGGGTCCTCGTAACCACCAAAAAACCAATCCAAGCCACCAAGAAGGGGAGGCTGATTTTTGGGTTAGCTTAAAGGGGAATCTAGAGAGACACAAATTTGGCCTCGCGTGTCTTTTTTTGACACATACCCAGATGTTAGCAGGATCAATATTTGGTTCAAATGACCATACCCTGGCTCGCCTTTCAAGCGGGAACCGAAAGGCAGAGGTTTAAACACTGGACGTGCAAACATGATAGAAAAAAGGGCTAGCCCAACCCTGAATGTTAGCAACCTAAAGTGCCCGAGCACCCAGATTCGGAGGGGAGATGGGCACTGGAAGCTCCTTTGTGCGTCTTGGTGTTTGGAAAGTATTATTGGACAAACCAAAAGCATCGCTTTGGAGAGCTATCCTCCTTTCTGGGCACGGACTTTCGCCTTAGGACTCTGGTGTCGGGTCAGGGCAGTGGCGTTATTGCTTAGGTTCCATGCGGCAGGGTTCAAACACTTCGGGACAGCAGTTGTGATGCTTGCATCCATTCCCTCACCAGCTCGGGATCCAACATCAAGCGTTGTTTTTCATATGCTTCGGACACGCTGGGAGCGTGCCGGTCATTCGGAAGCCGAGGAAGGGCGACTATCGCAAGGAATGGCAGTACAAAGAAATCCTGGCCCTGGCAGCTCGGCAGAACTCGGGTTCTCGCCAGTTGTCGTATCATTGGTGCGTTGGTGACGGAGGCAAAACATGGCATATGTTTTCCTGCTTCTGCGCACGGATGCCTTTTCCTATGCTTGTCATTCCCGTTTCCGCATTTTGTGCATCTGAGCTTAAAGTCTACGTTCCCAAGTGGAGAAAAGGAATGCTGCGTCTTTGATTTTCAAAGCTTTTAAAAGAAAATCTTTTGCAAGCAGTAGGCACTCACAGCAACAATCTTTTGGAATGGCTGCGAGCCGTACAGCGACTGGGAAGTAGCAAGCCTCGCCTTACTCATCAGAGTGAGCCATCAACAATTGTTGGATGAGCCGACGAATGATCTGTGAGTCAAGCAGCAAAGGGAGACTTTTTGCAGATATGAGGTGTCGCGTCTGCCCAAGTATTTTGACGCCGCGGTCATCGGCCCACGTGTTTGACGTTTTAGCTTAGCACTATTTGTGTGATGGTGGCCGCCACCTGCAGAGGGCAAGACCAATGTCTCACTGTGGGGTGTTTGCATGTGTTTGCATTGTTGGCCATCTCAAGTATGGGTGAGCGTCATTTATTTTGATTGGTGACAGGTGGTTGTTTGCAAAAGCAGTGTCGTTGTTGGCCTTGCTTCTGAGGCAACAAGCGTCACTGGGTGCCGCACACTTCATATCTTCAGGCGACCAGCTGATACGTCCACAGATTTCGGCGGATCTGGGGGATTTTGCCTCGCTGCAGCCTGGCGGAACATAGAAACAAACATTTTGTGTATTCTGTGTGTGTGTGTGTGTCTGTTTGAAGTACCGTTTTAAGATTGGTGTAAAGATGTTTAAAGGGAAATCAGAGGAAACAGACTCCTTTTTTGGGGGGGAAGGGGGGGGGGGGGTGGCACCTTGACACATACCTTATTGCCAGGCTACTATTGGTTGGCGGGGCATCGGAAAAGAACTCAAATTTCCCGCGAAAGCGAGGCAACCACCTCCCAATATCGACTCAGGGAAAAATGACATTGTGTCAGGGGCTGCCCGAAGTTGGCCACAAGACGTCAGAGAGTTGGAGGGTGCATGCTCAAGCAGTGCGCATGGCATGGAACCCCGGTTTTCCAACACACCTGGTTGATCTCCACTTTGCCTTGTGGCTTATGGGCTCAATTTAACCGCCAGTTGCGGTCAGAACAGGGTCCCGTATAGGGGGATGCTCAGCACTTGGTGAGTGAAGGGCCTCAAAACCTGAAGGTTTCATTGCCGATCTGGGCAAATTATGTCACTATGCGCCGTCACCCATGAAGGTTTCGTTCATAGGGATCCCTTGTTTTCGGTTTGTAGACTCTAATAATTCCCCCGGCTTTGATGCGTAAAGATGGATGGATGCAGGTCTCAGGAATCTTCAGTAATCTTCAGCTAACGTGGGCTTGTGGGAAGTCTGATGGGAAGTTTCGCCATACCCCTTTGAATACACCAGCACAGATGGCAAGAGTAGTACCATGATGATTGCCAACCGACTGCGAATGGAGGTACCCACGGAAACTCTGTGTCAAAACCAGCGCGGCCACATAAAGAGGGCACCAGTACTCTGATTTCAAGTGCCGTTCAATAGCCCGCACTAATTGGAAGCGCCGGGCTTCCAGGCTAATAAGGAAACTGCGGTGGGGGCGCCAAATTTGGGTCCCACTCTGAGTCACACTCTCCAGCAGCCTGGCAACAGCACCCTGCATTCTCAGTGACGCTTTCTGTGGCATCCACCCTGCGCAACTTGCAATCATCGCTACCTTCCAATGCCAGCCTGCGCCACCCCTCAGGCCTCATCTACTTAAAGCTAGGACCGGACCAGAAACCGGCCATCTTTCAAAGAGCCAAAAGGAGCTGGCCTAAACAGGTGCTTCAAACTGACCATGGTTTACAAAACACCTTGGACGGCCAAGACTGGTTGTTTCGTCCGGTCAAACCACGGGGGTTGCTCCAACATGGGCTTGGAGAACCCTAGGCGGTCGGCATGCGGAATCAGCGATGGATGGCCGCGGAGCTGATCAGGCCGCTGTGGTCGGCTGCGCGCCGGAACGCCTGACTCCTCGGCTCTGAGGGTTCCAGCTCAGAACACAGAGACAACTCGCTAGATAGATATCAAACCAATACATACATGCAGAGAGGTAGATGGATGGGACTAATAGATAGATAGATAGATAGATAGATAGATAGATAGATAGATAGATAGGTATCACACCAATACATAAGTACACAAGCTAGATAAAACATGACTATACACATGTATCAGATAGGTAAGATGGATGCCTGGCTAGATAGATAGATATCAAGCCAATACACAAGTACACAAGCCAGACACAACATGTGTATATACATCTATACAGAGAGGTAGATGGATAGGACTGATAGATATATGCATAGATAGATAGACAGATAAATATCAATCCAATACATAAATACACAAGCTAGATAAATCATGTGTATACACATGTGGATGAATAGAACTGATTGATTGATAGATAGATGGTTAGGACCCATAAATAGATAGATAGATATCAAACTAATACATAAATACACAGGCTAGATACAACATGTCTATACATGTATACAGAGGGGTAAATGGATAGGACTGATACATACATAGATATCAAACCAATACATATGTACACAAGGTAGATAAACATGTGTATACACATGTATACAGCGAGGTAGATGGATAGACCTGACAGTTTGACAGGTATCAAACCAATGCATAAATATATATATATATACACAAGCTGGATAGAACATGTATATACACATGTATACAGATAGGTAGATGGATAGGACTCATAGACAGATGAATAGATAGGTTGATGGATAGATCGATTGATGGATAGACAGATGTCTAATACATAAATACACAAACGAGAAAACACATGAGTAGATGGGTATCACTGTGAGGTAGATAGATAGGTAAATCGCTAGATAGATAGACAGTTAACGCTCGACCTGGGTGATACCACGATAGATGGAGGTATATTGCATGCATTCACAGAAGCATAGCACCCCTTGGTTGTACTTGTTGAAATCAGAAAAGATAAGGCTTATTAGGCCTCATTATACCTCATTTAGGGATTATTTCGGTTTTGCTGCACAAAAAGGACAAATACATTTGTTTCTTCAAAGAACACGCTGCCCCCTGAAAAGGTGGCTTTGGACATCCTTTTTGGAAAGGCGCCTATTTGGCGTGAGTTTCCTTCTGGTGGAAGAATGTTCAAAGGGGGACATGTCAGGAATGCTCCAAAAATCCACGTGGCAGAGTGTCAAAACGAGGCGAACCCTTGGGGTGGGGCGGGGGGAGGGCTCTTCAAAAGGAATTCATTGGAGGGGTGTCTGGCACTTCTAGGTTCGCAAGGCGGTGAAAAGTGACAGATGCTGGGCACAATGTAAAAGCAACAGCCGACGCAGGATTTGAAAGGAACCCTCGTTTGTGGGCCTCCCCGCAGGACCAGCCCAAGAGGCAGAGGTGTGGATCGTGTCCAAAAAAAAAAAACACAGATCCGTCTTCAAGCAAAATGTTGCGTGTTCTTTTGAAACCCTTCCGGTTTGATCCTGGCTGGGGATCCAAACTGGCTCGCTTTGGCCAGGATGCAGATCACCATGGCCACCGCCCAGGGCTTCGCGGGGTCTCTCCCTCCGAGACTTCGAGGTGAGAGCCGCATGATGCTGGTGCCCCTGCAGGCACGGTGCCGAATCGCAGGTTTTGGAGCGCTCCGATAATTCGTTTCGTTTGTTTCGTTTGTTCTTTCATTGAAAATGTGGAAGTTGCAGCAAAACATCGTAAACTACAAATTTGGCGTGTTTGGAGAGTTCACGTTCAATTTTGGGTGTACCAAAGCTCGCACAGCAAAATTGGCGCTCAAGATGCAAGGATGGCCATTTGCTCAAGTCTCGCCTTTTCTTTTCAAAGCCTTTTGGAGGCCGGGTGTCTCAGCGGGCTGTCAGCCACGCGAGGCGGTCTATGCCTTCTGGGGCCGCGACAGGTGGGAGTACTTCAAGTTGATCCTTGGCTGAAGGATGGCATGGCAAATCCTGGTATGGCAAGAGGGGCAGCATGCCGAGCCGGATTGGGCCAAGGATGAAGGACACGCAGACGTTGGTCATCCCGGTGAGGGAAGTCAAATGCCACCTATTTGCAAGACTTGCTGTGAAAGGGTCACTATCATTTGTGGTGGCTTGGCCGTCAGAGGTGGCACGGCACATGCCAAGCCTCACAATAGCCTGGACCTTCCTTTCGCTGATCCATCTAAGCTGGCGTGCCGCGCTGCATGTCTTGCAATTCGGGTTGATGGGAGGCTGGTAAACTTGGCTTCTAACTGGGCGGCCGGCTGTAGGGGCACCTGATAGGGTATCCTGGCTCAAGGCCTTTGTCTACGAATGCTGAGGCATGGAAACAGAGAAGAGGGACATTGATGAGGTGGAAGACTTTGTCGCCAACATGCACCAGGCCGCACAGTTGCCCGCGTTTGCCGGTGTTTGCCCAGCCATCGCAGGATGCTATGGAGGGATTGCAGGCTGGGTTCGTAAGCACTGGAGTAAGACATTTGCTGAATTCAAAGTTCATTCAGTTCCCCTTCCTCCCACAAATATGGTGTTCCTCTTTCAAGGGACCCCCTGCCTGGTGGGCCTGGTGCCACGCTAGTGAGCTTGAGCGGGTTGCCACGGAGGGATAGGTCGGCTTACCAACTACATCATCCAAGTACATTAGACATTTGATTCAGAGCAGCTTTGCTTCGCCAGCAAAGCTTATTGACTCGCGTCTCGCTTCGCCCAGGTGCAGGAAGGGATCGAAATTGCTATCTTCGGGGAGCAGCTGAACCAGTGCAAAGCGATTCTCCAGACGCAGGTCACCATCGAGAGCGTCTTGGCTGACATGCCGCTAACACTCTGGATCTAACGGGGGGGGGGGGGGGGGTTGGACGATTTCGCCCGTGAGTGTTTGTTTCTCAGGGAATGGATTGGGCAACTTTCTACATTCATGCCTAAGCCAAAAAATCCTGATGCGCTTTGAAGGAACACCAAATGAAGGAAGCTCAAGCAATAGGTCTTCTGAACATGCATTATTAAGGGACTGGCCCAACCCTGCTTGGGGATCCCTTGGTTCAAGTTGGCGGCTTGGTGCTGACACTCCGTTTGGACGGGCCCGACATGCAAGTTGGCATTGCAGCACTTGTGAGTTGTGCTGTTTGTTCAATCGCAAAGCGCCTTTTGCAGGATTTCAGGTGGAGTTGTGTTTGCCTTTCGGCTGCCCGCCGGAAGGGGAGCTAACGCGTCAGGTTTGCTTCTCAAGGTGTCCTTTCCCAGTTGGCAGCTTTCCAACCGCCAGCTAGCGACGAGCACGTGACCATGAGGGAGCATGGGTAAACCTCATCTGCCCTTGCACAACCAACCCTGGAGACACTTTAACCGGGTGTTCCCCACAGATCGGGTTCGGGCTTGGAGTTGTGTTTGACATCACTGGATTCCTTCAGGATTCGCAGCGAATGGACAAACGCAGAAGCAAAGCACTTGGGCTCAGGAGCCTTTAGCTACTGTTAACTTGTGTGTCGTCATACGTTTCTCAGCTTTGGTCACTGCGCCAAAGCCCAGAAAGGGCCTTGGGCCCCACAAGCCAAGAGTAGTTCATGTTGTTTGAGGCGATGTGGAGTTATGAAGGCAGTCTCTTTTCATGGCAGCACGTGCTTTCCCGATTCCCAGTATTGAGAGTATTCAGGCTAGTCAGCCCTTGGTGTTCGCAGTGATTCCTGCTGCGACTGCAGGTAGCCCAGCGCTGTTACCTTTAGATGTTTGACACAAGTGGCATTGAAGCCAATTTCGTGGATCGAGGGGTGCGGGGGGAGCGGACAGCATCTGAGAAAACCTTCCGGGCTACGTCATCAGCACCTTCGCGCCTCAGGAGGGGCCCAGGCATCCCAACACGGGTGGTTTGAACATCACCTTTTGGCCCATTTAAGGTGGGTTTCCCGCAGTAGGGGTGATGCTGATCAGGGGAAGTATAGGGAAGTCGGAAGCCGCTTTAAACCTTGCTTCGGGTTGTCCATGCAAATTGTATCGGGCCGTCCTTTTGCCCAGCACCGGGTGCAAAAAGGACCTTGCCTTTTTGACCCTCACCAAGCATTGCCTTTGCACTTTGCTCCACAGCGACATATGACGTCGCGCAGAATGCCTCGATGGGGTTTGGTCGCCACGAGTTTGCCTCAGCCTCAATGTGCCAAGAATTGGGGGAGACCCAGATTCTTGGGCAACGGTTTGCAATTCCTCACGTAGGAGGTTGATTTATGGCCTTTCCTCAGGAGGCCTTGGATCCTACAGAGGGCATAGGAATCGACAAGCTGCGCTTGACCTTCGACTTCCAGGACTCGATGAACCCGTGCAGTTTCCCAAAATAACCGATCGTGTACGAACAAGCATGCAAAGCGCACACACGCACGTTCATTCTGAGGATCCCCACAAGCACATTTGCGCTGCGCGTCGGTTCTCAGCCGCGCGCCAGGATGATGTAACCTCTGCCAAGGCCGTGCCATGGCCAGGGATTGGAATGTTGCCACTATGGATCAAGGAAATGCTGTAGGGGCGAGCCAGGAGATGCCCCAGCAAAAAACATGGATCATGTTGTTTAGTTTGAGCTGGGTTGAGCTGGGATGTGCCAAATTTGGGGCGCGGGGGGCCTGAGTGCCTCAAGGGGTGGCAAGAGGAAACCATGGACTGGGGCACCCAGAAAAGCGTGGCAAGGGGCCCTACATTTTGCTCAGCCAGGACTTTAGGACGCCAAGGAACCCTATGAGGTTCAATTGGCCAAGATGACACCTGGTTTAGTTTCTTTTCCACCCTATTGTGGATCGACAGAATCCCAGTTGGTAGGTGGTTCATCCCAGCATTTACAGGACTTCATCCATCCCAACTGGAGCACCATCTTGTGTGTCCACATAGGGCCCCGTTCTTAGAGCATTTTGGAGAAATGTAGTTCCGTGGGATGGACCTAAGCGAGCCGAGGACATCTTGACTGAAGCTTCCGGCTGCTTCTGCGTTGCTTGGGGCAGCCTGCCCCTTGGCTCCCCCCAAAACGGGGCCGTTCGGGCAGGGGGCCTCTGATATTGTGGATGGACAAAATCCTGCACAAGTTGGGATGGATGGAACCTAGTGAATACCGGGATAGCTAACTTGTGCTGGAATTGTCAACTCGTCCAACATCACGGAAACCTTCCCTTTTGAGGGGGCTGTGTTTTTCCTGAATTGCGGTCATCTATGCAAATGTGTGTGTAGGTGTCGTTTTCACCCGTGACGCCGGGAGGTTTTGAGGAGGAGGAGGACGGCGGGGGTTCGCCCTTGAATGGACCTTTTTCCCTTCACAAGAGAACTTAGCCCCTAGGGCTCACCATGTGTACGACCTGCTGGATCAGCCAACTGACCACCTCAGACAACATTGACTTTTTGGGAAGGCCATGGCGTTGTCTCGTGGGGTATTGGATCAAAATTATGTTGAATCTGAAAGCACAAAACTCTATTCGCCTACGGATGCATTGACCTCGTCGCCCGGCGGCTGCTTGTGGGCTTTTTGCATTCACACTTCCAGCGGCACGCAATAGTGGACCACCCGCCCCGGTGCCAAAATTTAACAGATTTGCACCTGTTAGCCCTTTGCAACTTTGCGAGCATAGATAGAATGGCTTCAACATGCCTACAGCATTGGACAGCCCCAACTGAGGCTTCTGCTCGCGGGGACGCAGGCACAGAGGCGCCGCGCCGCAGAATATGCCAACCTCATGGCAGGGAGGCGTGACAGCGGCTGTGCTGCACCAAGCGGTAAGGCGAAACAAGGATCTTCACAAATTCCTTGTTTCGGTGGTGATTGTGCCGTGAGCTTTCTGGGCCAGTGAATTCTTCGTCCAGCCAGGGGCTTTAACTGGGGCATGTAAGGGCTCAGTTTAAAGGCGACAAACTTGGCTTGCCTGACTTGACCGAGACCAGTGGCCTCACGCGCGGGATGCCGAGAACAGACAGGATATGGCAGTTATGTGGGTTAATGAGGACGTGAGCAGGTCCAAATGGTTCAAGGAGGACCTGCTGAAGACGCTGATGGCCGAGGAAGGGGTCTGCGCTTTCTTCGATGCAGACTTCAAGGCAGACAGCAACGAGAGGCGGCTGATCTTCGCTGGCGTGCGAGTGGGAACCGACAACTTTGACTGGGATTTGGTACAGGAGAAAGCGCAGCAAGCCGTGCAGGCGGCAGAAGATTACATCAACGGTAGGCGTGGGGGTCAAGGGCTCAAGCTGCGGCAATAGGCAAACTAATTACGTGCGTTGAAAGGAAGCCGCAAGATGCCACAAGGGCATGTCCAGACCTCCTGGCTAAAATCCAAACTATTCCCGGCGTTTAATGGTAGTTTTTCTGGGCCCTCCTTCATTTGTGAGCGGCTTTGTGTGGCCAGGTCCACGTCATACAATCCCACTTCGAAGTGGTGGACAGGCAGAAGGATGAGCTGGCAGACCACAAAAGACAAGAAGATGACCACATCCCAGGGCTATGGGGGTGAAAGTGAAGTGCAGAGCATGGAGATCAGTGACGAACAAGAAGCCAAACTGCTGCCGTTCGCGCCGGCCACGCCAGCCTTGCCGGTGTCTGCGCCTGAGCAAACTTCACATTCGATAGCGCCGGTGACCCCTGCTGCCTTTGGGCCCCACGGGGGCGCAGCGCCGCAGACGCCCATGCCCAAAATGTCACCTGCGCCATGCACTCCTGCTGGCTTCGGGCCCCATGGATCGGCAGCACCTTCAACCCCGGCCCCAGGCGGGGCACAAGCGCCACCGCCTTTTGCACCCAACACGGCTGTGCCGCCCCTGACGCCAGCGCCCCATATTCCAGGGCCAGCAACGCCAGCACCTGGCGGCAGGTCGCGTGTGCCTGAACCAGCCTCACCAGCACCTGGTAGCAGATCTCGTGTGCCCGAGCCCGCTACACCGGCATTTGCGGGCACATCGCGTGTGCCTGAGCCCGCCACGCCAGCATTTGGTGGCAGGTCACGTGTGCCTGAGCCAGCCACGCCGGCACCTGGCGGCAGATCGCGTGTGCCTGAGCCCGCCACGCCAGCATTTGGCGGCAGGTCACGTGTGCCTGAGCCAGCCACGCCGGCACCTGGCGGCAGATCGCGTGTGCCTGAGCCCGCCACGCCAGCATTTGGCGACAGGTCACGTGTGCCTGAGCCAGCCACGCCGGCACCTGGCTTTAAATCTCGTGTGCCTGAGCCTTCCACGCCAGCATTTGGTGGCAGGTCTCGTGTGCCTGAGCATGTGCCTGAGCCAGCCACGCCGGCACCTGGCGGCAGATTGCAAAGTGGCGTTCCTGAGCCTGCGACTCCCGTATTCCGAGGGGCTATGACTTCGGCCGCGGCACAGCGGCCACCACCCGAGACACCAGCCACCTTACAGGCAAGGCAAAACACAAATTCCGGCTCAGCAACACAGGCAAATGATCCGAGACAAGGCTGCACATATGCAACGGGCTGAGTTTTCGCATATGTAAAGTAATGTTCTGTACGTTTGTCGCGTGTTCGCACAGCATGCAACCACGCAACATGGACAACACAATAACCTTTTTTTCCCGGTGTAACTGTGCAATGTAGAAACAAATAGATCCTCTCCTTCCCTTTGCTGCCATAGTTCCGCAATGCAGTGCCTTGCGCAAGGACGGCAAGGAATCCTCCGGCTGCTCAGAGCTCGGCTGAACCCTTGCCCCCAGGTTGGCAGAGGCGCCTTGGCCGCGATCCACTTGAAGTGCAATCAAATCGATGCCCCCAAGGTGTCAGGCCAAGAATCGGCCGCCACGGATTTTCAAATCGTTGGCGGCCTTTGTTGGGATGTCAGCCCAGGTGCATCTCCAAGACTTACGGAAAGGCATACTACTTCCATGCCGAGCTGAAGAAATCCCAGTACGAACGGCCCACTGCCTAATCACCTCCTTCGGTTTCACCAGAGGCTTAATGCTTGCAGACCAGGCAGACCGTGCCCCCAGTGGCTTCAACACATGCGGCGTGTTGGAGAAGCAGTCAATGCGTGCGATGCAGAGCGCGTCGCAGAAAACGGCCTGGAGTGACAAGGGGTATTGGCCTTTGTTGTGGGCCCCAGTCTACTTACTTGATGCTGGCGAGAGATTCCCAATTCATTTGCCGTGGCGGATCGAGAAAACTAACAGCCAACCAATGCTTGGGGAATAAACCCTATGAACCGTGGCTTGCAGTTTCCTTTCGGGTTCATTCCCGAACCAGCCGTCAGCAAGGTCCTGCCAGAGAAGGCTGTCCTCAGGAAGGACGGATGAGCATGTGGTGGTGCAGCGTTGGCACCTAAGCCTTCCCAACGAGCCCGAAGGGGAAATGAATTGATTGGGGGCCTCGAGATGGAGAGATACCCGTTGTGAGTTGGTGGCATCCAGTTTCAGGTGCGCACGATGCACTAGCCGAGTGCGCATTGGGCACGCTGGCGACCCTCCTTCTAGTGCCTGCCTCGGCGGCTCTTTACCACTCGTGCCTGGTGCAGTTGGACTGCACCTTTTGAACCTTTTGGGGCTACTTAATGAATGCAAAGCGAGTTTGCTTTTGGTCGGGCGAGGGTTGGACACAATCCCTCAAGTTAAAACAATGCCCAAATCCCAGCAATCAGCCCTGCCACCCCCTGTTCGATTAGGCCCTGTCCTCAAGTTTGCCAATGAGGCCTTCCTTCTTTGAGCAGAAGCGAGTTCTCGAAGCCGAAATCCGACCTGTTCCCATACAACATGCTTTTGTACTTGTATACAAGCTGTTGATGGAAACACCTGTAGGTTGGGAAGCATCTTTTGGACGGGGCAAACCTCCACAATGTGCCCAGGACTGAACAGGAACCCTCCAACTCATGCATGTAAACAGAGGCATTGTGTTCTGTGCAAATTGGTTCAGCGGGGGTTGGGCTTTGTCTTCACTCCATGTACGAGCGGCCCGAGGTTTCACTTTGCAGGGCCCCAAGCTGCACGCGGGGGGGGGGGGGGGCATTCCGAATTGCTTGGCTTTGGGATGCTTTGGGGTTTGGCTCAGGCAGCGCGGACTGCTCTGGAGAGCCTGCGCCTCAGGGAGAAGTGTCTCAGAGTGCGGAACCTTTTTGTGTGGTTTGGCGCCTGTTCCACCAAGAGCTGGATCGATCTCATCGCGGGTTACGCATGCGGATTAGGAATCTCCCCCAATTTCGAAAAGCCAAAAAGGATAGCCGCCGGCCTTTTCCTGCCGGGGTCACTAGGCTGGGGCCCACAGAGTGCCCCTTGGCAGGTTAGCCTGCCACCCCGATGGTATATACGGGCAATATAGTCTTTCATGCATCCAATTGTCTATATGTGGTCCGTAGTCTGCCACCAAACCCCCATATTTTAGGGGCACGGACTCCAGTTACATGGTTGGCCCCTACGCCAGGGCACCTGCAGCTTTCGATGAGGTATGGCCTGCGCCTGAGGTGCTTTAGGTTTTCTGACCGAAAAGAGAGGTAAGTGCGGCCCCCCCCCCGCCCGCCTTGCTCCTTGAGCAAGAGGCTGCGAACCTCAGGCGTGCGCTTCTACTGGGCCCAGGGGCCATTCCCTTGCTGGACCCTTGGTGGGGGGTGGCGGACAAGCTGGAGGCAGAGGCTTTACGGGGTGAGGAAGAAGCGACCATTCAGGCTGCGGGGGGTGAGGCATACAACTCATTCGACGCATGACAAAGGTTCCTTTCTCAAGTTCTTGATTCCAATTGCTGACGAGGAGAAACTATCCAGACGAATCCAAACAGGAAGGCAAGCAATTTCAGACGTGCGCAGCATATTTTACGGGGAACCCCTGGGGTACGTGGTTGAGCCCCTAGAGATTCACAAGATCTCAACCCCAGCTTTCCCCAACGGTCCTTTTCTCAAATGAGGCCTAAGCAATGCATGATTGGTTAGTTTTCGAGGGACTTTGTCGGGAGGATGGCCCTTTTCAGGAGCATGCGTTTGGCAAAGGCCAATCCTTGTTGGGATCCTTGGCTTACTTGTCCGAATCCAACCTTGCAATCATTTTCTTGCCGTTTTCCAGTTTGGGTGCATCTTGAGTCAGGGCCCCCAAAACATAGGTCCTTGAGGCATCTCCGGTTGCATGGCAACATGTATCCAGGTCCTTGTGGCTTTCGTGAGGCGATTCGGTCGCTCAGGTACATGCTGGGCACCTCTTCCTGGCCCATCGCTTCTCTTCTCGCCCGGCGCCTTGAAGACTGCAATTGCTCGCTCGGGCACTGGGCAGGTCGCCCAAAGCGGGGGGGGGTCACCCCGTTGGCTCGTGGGCAAAGACCAGAGGAAGCCTGCCGAAAGGAACGAAAGGAGAACACCAGACACCACTCACAGCCACGCCCAACAAGCCAATGGCCGCACGGCCAGGCCAAGTGGCAGTCTTTCTGCGGGCACCGATCCCAGCAGGGCGCCTTAGAGGTCTTGGAAGAATGGGGCTCTGAATTTGGCGCATGTCCCCGCCAAGAAGTTCCTACCAGTGGCGAAGTGACGTCCACCACGCCTGGAAGCACGACGTCAACTGTGAATTTGCTTTCGCCTTTCTGGAATTGGAAGGGGTGGCATCACTTTGAGTCGTGGATAGATCAATTTCCAGGGGACCCCATTGGCTTGCACCTGTGGGTTGGGTTGATTTTCCACTGAGGTCGGAGGCCAGAAGCTCAGTTTTGAAGCCAGAGCAAAGTTGGGCTTGGGATTGGCCATGGGCATCTTGGATGTGTTACCACTTGACGCGTCACTGGATGAAGCACTGGTGAGCAGAGGGGCCTAACTTCTCCATCAGTTTTTCCGAATTTGCGCTTTTAAGCCACTTTGAACAACGCTAATTAGATGAACCAGCTGTTTACTGAACTTCCTCTGGATGCGGCGTGTCTTTTAGGCAGCGCTACACATGAATGATGTGCTGCCCAGCTTTGAAGGCCAGCGCCGAGCTGTGCAGACAGTCGTGCTCCAAGATGGGAACGCAATGGCATGCGTCAAGACCAAGAAGCCCCCTGCCTTTTGGCTCATTGCCAAAGAGGACCAACATGCATTTCAATTTGAAGTCAACGCAGCATCAGTCATTTCAAGGAGCAGAGGGGTTTTAGAGCCTAACAAGCGCATGGACTGGTGTCAACTTAAGTTTCTGGAATTCGTTCCAGCCGGCGGCCAAGGGAACAGTCGCAGCAATTCTTGATGCACACGGAGCAAGCCGCACAGGAGCAGTCTGGTGCCAAGAAGTGGGGTGGGAGGCACACGCATGTCGCGTTTGTGCCTCCATCAGGGTGAACTTCCTTTCAAGCATTCAAACTTGATTCTTCCCGGCCGGTCCAAGCCCTGATGCAATTCATGCGGGGCATGGCGCTTTGGAATGATGTTTTCCTTGGATTAGTGACTAGTGCTATTCAAGATGGTTGCCACCACTGGAAACCAGTTTGGAAGCGCCTTTTGGTGGTTTCCTCCGAAAGTTCCTTGTTTGTACCCTTCAGTCACTTTCAGAACTCCATTTGTACTCATGTAATTTCTTGCAGGGGAGCATCCCAATTGTTAGTTGGTTTTCAACACAGAGTCCGCCGGCCCAAATGGGAGATGTGCATGTTGATTTCCCTTCAAATCAAGCCCAAAAGGCACCACCTCCCAAAAATACGCACCGCAAATGTTTGTGACTTCGTTCGGGTGTCCGTTAATTTCACTGTTCTGACTCAAAGTCAGACATGTGCAGGTTCTGAGAGCACGCCAACCTTAATATTGGAGGATGTTTCTGGTTGGTGCCCCTTTAAAACAGTTCCAAAATGACATCCGATCGATATGTAGTTCAACAGCAAACCGATAAGCTTGAGTTCGCCTCCTCTTCGGGGTTGAAGAAGCGATTTTGAGGAACACCCCTTCCCAGACCCGGCGTGGTGCCGAGTCTGATGCCCCTGCTCTGGCAGCCTCGCGAGAAAGCCGGGGCGGCGGAGGTCAAGCAGCCTGGCCGCGAGGATCCACCGATTTGGGCAAGGGGCAAGGAAAATGCAAGGTTCTCCCTGGAAGGCGTTCCCCTCCAAAAAGATGTGCATATGTTAAGACTAGACAGTAGTGCGAATCACAAGTAGGTCATTGGAGGCAACAACTGAAGAAGTTAATGGGTAATCAAGATCAGACAGAACATGTACATTATTGTCCATTTGTCCGACATAATTTCACATCATACCCCTCAAGAGTCACTCCTTTGCAACTTATTCCCAGCACGAGAGTCTTTCTAAAATGATGTCTTCAGGAGTTCCCTGCTGATTGTCATGCGCATAGCCATGGGTCTTGACTTGCAGTCATTCCCCGCCCCCTCCCCCCCCAAAAAAAAGAGAAAAGAAAGCAGGACCGCTTTCAGGACCCGTTTCAGTGTCATGTTGACCCGCCTTGAAAAGGAGATCCACAAAGGCAAAAAGTGGTCCATCATTCTGACAACCCAAACGGGACCAAGCAGGACAGTAATCATATATGCACAGACTAATCTACAAGATATAGACAGGGGCCAGACACTTATAGCGGGGGTCTAAAATGGGGCCTTTTCGACGCAGGTGTTGCAGTGTTAAGATTCCCGAGGCTCGGCATCTTTGTGGCGAGCACGCTGCGCGGTGGCCTCAATCAGTGCGGCTGCTGACTTGGTGGCGTCAGTTTGGAGTTTGTTCTCTCATCAATCACGTAGACATAAATCAGCCCCTGGAAGAGCGCTTGTTGAGCCTGAATAGGGATGGTCGGGTGAATGAGCATGGACTTTGAAGTGCTTGGAGGATGCCGGGTCTTTTACTGTCATAGGATGTCATAGGAAATCAGCCAGGGACCTTGGGAGAATGGGCAAGCTGGAGCTAGTCCATGAGGCCGCTTGAGCGTGTTCCTGAACAGCCGTGAGCTTGGTGTGCATATTTAGCGACCGATTTGTTCCATTTGCTCCGTGTTGGCGAGAGAGAGCAACATAGAAACAGATCGTCTACGACCAGAAAGGCACGACGTCCCGTGCGTCCGGTCAAACACAGCTAGCTGAGGTTACCCAACCGGAGACAATAATGGAGAAAACTTTGCCAACAGAGAGCCTTTGGTTCGCCTGCCAAATCCCAAGGTGGTACTGTACTTGCCAGTTGCTGAAAACTTATCTATTTTTTGTTTCTTGGCTGCAGGCGGGCCGCGGGCAGAGCCGGACTTTGCCACGACCTGCCAGGAGGCAAATCCGACAAGGGTTCGGTCAAAATATCCAGCAGTGACTGTGGTCAATGTAGGAGTCATATTGGAACAAACTGCATTTTCCACAAAAAAAAAACATGGGACTCACACAGGTTCTCATCTCCATTGCGGGAAATGCGTACTTTGATTGTGGCTTCTATGGGTCCACTTCCCCCTCAGTAGGAATGGGACAAGATGGCGGTTGAATGTTAGGTTTGTTTGGCATTTGCTAGGCTCTAGCAAATGCGGTTAGAGCGTCCCAGAAGGCCCTGTGCTCTTCAGAACCTGTATGTGGTAGTGTTGCTGGAGCGGATGCAGCAGAAACTGTTTGTGCGCTGGCCATTGTCCCTCTACAGGTGGCATCGGCTTGAATTATATACTTTGAAGAGCTTTACAAATCTAAGGTCGGCATCAGCCGTTCTACCTTCCTGAACCCACTTGTTCGGCCACTGAAAATGCAGGGGGCAAAGCCTTGTTTCCTAATTGGGCAACGGGCACAATATCGTTCAATACGTCCTAGGCAGTTTTTGGCTGAGTACGGAGCTACCCTGGACTCCATGCATCAAAAAGGAAGAACAGAACAATTTATGTTCTCAGGCAGGGATCCTCTGTTCAGAGGTTCCATGGCTACGTTGGGAGGCAAAGGTCGCCAGACGCCCCGATCGAAACGATCGAGGTGATGAGTGCAGAGGCAGCCGCGCTTCTGCTGCCGGGCCCCGAATGGATGCTGTTTGTCTAAGTTGTTGGCTTTCCTTTTTCTTTTTCTTTGGGGGGGGTTTTAGTCCAAGTCCCAGAAAGGTGAAGCTGTTGCTGGTAGGTGGTTTGGTGGCCCTTTCAAAAAGCCGTCCCCGAGAGGCCAAGAGGGTCGCATTCCTCTTTGCGTACCACAACCTTTTGGGCCAAATGAATGCCTTTGGGCTAACTTGAAGCGAGTTTCTTTTGGATGGTGTGATTTCTCAGGCTAAAGGAACCCTTGTGCCATCGGTGCCAGCAACAAAAATGCGGGGTGCGGCACGACTTAGGCTGAAGCAGATGGGTGAAGACGGATGTCATGGATCAAACACTACTCCAAGGGCAATCTTGACATGGGGGATACGGCCTTCTGCCAACTTGTTCTGCGTGCTCAAAGCGATTGGGTAATGTTGAAAGGTTCATTCATTCCATTTGTTTCGCCCCAGGTGGTCGGTCCCTTTGACACCATGTTCGTCACTATTTGAAGAGGGGCCCTCAAAGGCTGCATGTATACGTCGTCGTGAATTGCTGGCTGTTGAGCCCAAAAATGTGGGTTCATGCAGTCCTATTCTCCAAGTCCCTGTCAAGTGATTTACCACTCACTGCGATGGGATTGGTTTCTTCTTTTATTTTTTGAGAACAACTTAAACAGGTGCAACCGCGAAAGGGTGCCCCAAAAGGTACCAGCTCCACAAAAGGCAACTCCAACGTCTTTGTTTTGCCCAGCCCAGGATCCGTTTGTTGGGCCCTCCGGTGTCGCGAGATCCGCTGCACTGCCGCGCGCTCAGCGAGTAAATGGGTGAGCCTACATTGAATCCTGAAACATAGTCCCCTTTTCCCTTTCAACCAGCAGCACATGAACGTATGCAGGGAGCCTAAGTCTGCCAAAGGGAAATCGCAAGTGTCCTTCGGACGTGGCCGTGAACAGATCCATCAGCGGAGTCCTTTGGCCCGAAATGGACGGGTTTACAAATTGTTTTTGGGGGCATGTACTTTTATCATAGCATGTTTGATTATTGCCATGGCCAATGCGCCATTTGGCTCAAGCTTTTCAATCCGGCAACTAGCCCTTGCAATTTCGTCACCGCGCACTGCGGCACGTCACGCTCATCTTCGGCAAACAGTGCCGCTGCTGAGCGCTCGTGGTGGTGCCTCCGGTGGAGGTTGGTCGGGGGGTTCTGGTTGGGGTTGGTTCGCACTTGGTTTGCTTTGCTTGCTTCGCTGCATTGTTTGCCTGCTTGGTTTGCTGCTTTGTGCTTGCTTTCGGTTGTCTCTGCCCTTGCTGGGTTTCTTTATCTTGTTACAACTGGCACCCTGTTTTGGTTCGTGTTTGGCCAGCCGGGGGCACCGCTTTGCCCTTGGGACTGGGGGACTTAAACAATCTCTTCTTGTTGGTGGGATTGGGCCTGTTTATTCTCTCCCGAAACTCTGTTTCAAACCCTTTCGCAGGTTATCAGCCGTAGGATTCGTCCTCGGTTGGCACCGCGAACCCCATTTAATAACAACCCTGCAGGCGCCGTTTTCCATAGGCTACTGTAGGACTCATGGCGGAAATCACCGAGGATGGACCTCATGTGGTGACCGATGAGTGGGTTCTCGGCCAGGCCGGAATCTTGGACGTTGTGAATGACGGCCAGGTGCCCGGACAGCGATGTTTTCCGTCTGACTTTTTGTCGGACCCACTTTTTCAGAAGCAATGCCTTCAGAGAGATCCAGTGCTACTCGCACTGATGATCTATCGTCTAATGCCTCAAGAGCTAATCGCTCTCAGGGTCATGGGGCTAATCGTCCTGACCATGATGATTCCGTCTCAGGACGTGATGATGACGAGCCCGGTATTGCACCTGGAGCTCAATCCTCATCTTTCCCGGAGCTGATGAATATTGGTCAGTCCGAGTTTCGTGACTCTCGAAGTAGCAGTAGACCTGTGCCAACCAGTAATATAGCCTTTCAAGTGATCGGTAATCCCGAACCTGGTACATCCAGTGGAGTTGCATTTGATGTTCATCTGCCAACCGAATCCGGTGGGCTCGATTGGAGAGCCTCATGGCCCAATGACGGAAATATTTTTGGTATGGATTTTGCCGCATGGATGCCAGGGCCACCCGCCCCGTCATCTTTCCCGCAATTCCAGAGCCCAAAACGGGCTGCTGGAAGCGATGAATTCATGCTACCCTTGTCGATTGAGAATCTCAGTCCTGACGTGGCCAGCCGTAACGTCAGGCCAAGGCCGTCGGTAAACCCGACCATGAGGAACATGTCCCCTCCCCCAGGACTTTCAGGATTTGAGAGCCCTAGGGAGCGTAATATCATAGATAGATTGGATTTGCATCCCAGTCCAACCCCGAGCAAACGATCAAGGTCAAATTCGACTGGATCGCATAGGGCAAGGGGGATGGATCGGGAAACTGCCCACAGGGGTAACCCCAGTGCGCGGGACTCAGGACGCGGTCGATCAGGTGATCCAGCGTCAATTATTGGTAGAGACCCGCTAAACGCGGACACACTCGTTAACGTGCTTGATGGAATCGAAGCATTCCAGGAGGAATTTAATAGGTCAAGTGGCTTGAACGCACAAGGTGTTCGCCCTACGCCCAACGCGGCTTCCATTTTCGCTCTGGACGACATGGACGGAGCTAATGTTCCGATAGAATCTGAATCCATGATAGCATCAAGTTCTAGTCGCAATCATACCATCAGTAATGCGACTGATATTGAATCGATGTCTGAATCTAGAGTGTCCAATGCGACCGACTTGAATGACATTGTTATTGCTGACTCGAGACCCGATGTTCCTATGCGAACGGATAGGCCTGTTGTCCCCAAACTGCCCGTGGCCAAAGGCCTGGGCATGACACAACCCTCTGCGGTTCGTGATGCTAGGAGATCTGCTCCGTATCAGAGTCAATCTCCTAATCGGAGTGAGTTCCCACGGCCATCAACGGCCGTACGAGATGATTTCAGAACTCCTCCGAGGTCTAATCCAATCATGGTTGATTTGTCCACTCCTCGAGATCGCGGATCAGGACTTGGTCCTGCGAGTGAGGAGCAACCCAACGAGGTTGCTGATCTTGTGACAGCCCTCGAAAGAGGGAGAGTAGACTCTTCGGTGAGTGCGATTATTCATCGCCTGGTTGCTAAGGTCGAAGACCTTGGACGTAGGAATGATAGAAGTGATCAATGCATCAAGCAGCTCTCCACTGAGATGAACTCGTGGAGAGCCAAATGCGACCAATGCGTCCATGTGAGTAGCACGTGTACGCAGGCTGCGACCGCGGCCATGCAGCTATCACAAGGGACTAAGGACATTGTGTCCGAGCTTGGCCAACGCGTCAAGATCGTTGCCGATCGCATGATAAGTATAGGCGATGCCCTAAATGAGCGGGCCAGCTATGATGATGTTGCTCGCTCCATCACCCAGGTTCAAACTGTTTTTGAATCTCTCTCTGATCGAGTAACCGGGCTTATAGCTCGTGTTGATATGATCGAGAGATCTCTAGTGGAGAGCCAATCCAACCATCCCGCTATTGGTGGGGTAAACCTCAAAATCGAGGACCTGTCCACCAGGGTGTGTCAGATTGATAGGATGATGCAAGATGTCGAACAACGCTGGACCAATAATAGGGACGGCATAAAGTGGGTTAAGGACCAACTTTATGAGACACAAGCCAACCTTGAGATGAAGTCAAGGGACTGCAAATCCTACACGGACAAGCAAAATACTCATAACATGGCCGTTTCGACTACGCTCAACAGTAAGCTCGAGCAAATGCTCGAGGTGCTGGGCAATACGGCCCAGAGAATTAACTCCCTCGAGTCAAGGCACTCGAACCAGGCCTCAAGTAGTGGATTGAACGATCACACAGGAGGAAGGCGTGCCGCGTCCCGTACTCCGGATAAGCGGCCACCTCCACCTGGCCCTCCTGATGGAGATCCTCCACCACCTCCTCCTCCAGATTGGCAAAGCCCAGGAGGAGGGGGGAAGAAGAGTGCCGCCGGTGGGAACCCTGGCAACCCTGGTAAACCCAGATGTAAATACGTAGGTGATGGATATAATCATCTCGTGGCTGAGTTTCACTGTAAGGGATGCAGAGGTGATGTTTGTGAGTATTGTTTCTCGTTTAAAGAGAACCTGTGTGAAGAATGTTCCCGTAACGGACCCCGATGCGGAGTCTGTAGGGAAAGCTCGTTCCTGACCAAGGGAATTGAGTGTCAGTTTTGTAAGACATACTACTGCACCAGACATTCTGCAGGGCAGGATGACTACAGGAGATTTGGATTTGTCCAGGGTCCCTGTTGTCTTGCGTGCCTTAGGGACGAGACTAGGAGAAGAAGGGATCCCGATGGTAACCGTGTCAGGAATAGGTCGCCTGGAGGCGTACCTGAGACGAACCCGACGCGGTCGTTCTCGCCGCCTCTGCGGCCACCCGTTGACAGATTCCGTGACACCTCAAATGGGGGTCAACCCAACGCGGCTAACCTTCAGAGTCCTCCGAAGGCTACGCAATCCGTGCCCCTGGATAAACGTGAAACCGGATATTATCCAGGATTTGATCCCAACGGTACAAGGCCGAAGGATCCTTCAGGCCTTGAGCCGCCGACCATGCGTGGCCCCGATCCTCCTGACAAGAAATGTCGGATGTGTGACCGGGATATTCCTGACCCCAGCAAAATTGAGGAATGTAAGGTATGCATGAAAAGGGCATGTGAAATTTGCATTCCGAAGGCTACTCGCCTTTGTCCTGTATGTGCACTATCAATCGGTAGTTCTCAGGTTCCACAGCATCTTTTCGGAACTGGTGGCGGCGGATACAGTAGCCACCATGATCCGAACTGTACAGCTGCGACTAAATGCATTTCCATAGACCTCCCGCCAGAGCCCGACGCGGCTGGGCTGAGGGTATGGATAGCCAATATGAAGGAAGCTGTTAGCAATGCCTACAGCTATGATGGACTTTACGTCATCAATTGGCTAACTGAAGTCGAGAAGGCAAAGACCTTTGATGAACTGGATGGGGAATGTAAGTACCACATCCTTGAAGCCAGGTTCAATGCAGCCATTCGGAAGTGCATCAAGACTGTTGCGATCATCGATAAGATTAATCGTCTCACCGAAGCCGCTCAACGCTCCAACAATCGCATCAAGAGTAGACAGATCCTGTGGCTCTTATACGACCACTTAAGGACTGCGAATATCGGAGAGCAATCGTTCAGGATTATCGAGCTCTCAAACCTGCGATGCAGTGTGTCATCTTTCTATACTGAAGAGGAGCGACTTGAAAGGTTCATCGCGAAGTGGGATCACATCCTTGCGGGTCTCGATGAACCGCTGACTGAACAGGTAAAGCGGTCGCTGTTCAGTGAGAAGGTTAGACACCTCAACTGTTTGGCTCATGATATCAGGGAATGGGATAGGAACATATCCAACCCTGATGTTTGTAGCTATGAATGGCTTCGTGCTCGTTGCAAGAACGAAATTGACCGCTGGAGGGTTCGTAAGAATCAGGTCAATATGCACAAAGACTTTTACGAACGATCTCAGTCCAGGGAGAGAGCCCAGAAACCTGGCGCTCCTGGTCCTCCCGTTAGGAGACGATCTCCGTTTGGAGACTCCCATAGGCCTAATCGGCCCCCTAGTGATCCGAGGAAGAGGACCGGTAATACCCCTAGTCCTCATCGAAGGGACAGGTATTCTCCCAGGAATAGGGAGCAGGACAAGCGGCGTACGCCTAGCCCTAGGGGCGAGCCCCCAAGGAGGCCCAGGTCTACGTCGCC